CCCTTCCTTGCCAGTGGCCTTGGCTGACACTCCAGGATACCCAGCAGCTTGGTGTGGGGCCAGCGCAGTCGAGGCAGAGCCTGGGAGTCCCAGGTCCCAGTCTGTCCACAGCCCGAGTTCACGATGTTGGCAGAAGCCGCAGAGCTTTGGCAGAGGCCCCTCGCCCAGATCAGAGGCTGCGGTGGGTGGGGTAGCTGGACCGGGCCGCAGCCAACTTCCGGAGCCTGGGAACACTTCTCAGTTTGTCCTTTGTCCTCTCACCAGCCCCTTCCCAGAAGACATGGCCGGCTGGGGGAAGTTGCTGCCTGGGGATCTTGGGGCAAAGCCACAGGGACAAAGCCAGCTCACAAAGACCACCCTCCCCCCAAGCATGGTGACAACCCGCTTGAGTAACATGCGCTCAGATATGCTGCCCCCGTCACTGTCCCCCTGGCCAAGCCAGAGCCAATGGGTGTCATGGGCCCACTACCCGCCCCGCCCCCTCCTTGGCCTGCCTGTAACCAAGAACCCGAGAGAACACTCTGGCAACCCTAAAGATACCAGGGCCACTGCTTCTCACTGGGGTCCGCCCCAGCCCTGGCACCCAACCCAAGGGCTGCCAAGAGACGAAGCTCCCACTACGTACGGAGCACTTGCTACAGCCAGGCTGAGTGGCAAGCGCCTTACAAATTCTCCTGCAGACCCAGGCAAGGGCCCTGGGTCTGTGAGCAGCTGGCCACCTCCTGCCCTAATGCTTCTCTGGCCTCTCATAGGACTGGTGATCGTGCCTCCTCCAGACAGCACAGGAGATGCAGAGGGGCAGAGGCACTTAGCACAGGCCAGGATTCTAAAACCTGACTGATCAAAGAATCACTAGGGGCATGAGGAGGTTGTTAAAGCAGGAATTCCACGAGTTTACCCCAGAACTACTGAATTAGAAAGGCCATGTGGCCCGGGAGCCCACGTGATTCCTGGGAGTGCTGGGGAAACAGGCAGGCACTGGGCTGAAAGGTGGGGTCAGGGTCGAACAGCCCTGACAAGGCTCCCACTCCACAGGCAAGTTCCTCCACATCTTGGGGGCTCTGTGATTGGGGTGACACCAGCACCTGCAGTGAGGGCCAGACAGAACACACTGAGCACTGGATAAATGCATCACCGTCAGCATCGATTCTGTTCAGAAGAAATGAGGAAAAAGTGCCAACCCCTGGAGGGACCCTGCTAGCTACCCCTCGCCCTCCGCAGGTGTCTATGCTGCCTGCGGACCTGGGGCAGCCCGCAGGGCTCTCTGCTTCTCTCATCCAGAACAACGTATTGTAAGGCACAGCCCATCTTCCGGGAGCCTGGGAAGAAAGCTGGGTGCGTGGCTGCACATTCCCTGCCTTGGGAAGAGATGCTGGTAACTAGGGAGGCAGGGTGGAAAGTGGGGAGACCCCCCACTTCCCCTCCTGGCTCTGTGGCCCCCGGGTGAATGACAGGCAGGAGACTTGGGCTTGGGCAGGATGTTTGCTGATTGGGGCCCAGCTCCCCAGAGGGCCCCCGCTTCCTCCCCTATGCATAGCTGTGTGCCTTGGTTGGGTAAAAGAGAGTGAGCATTTTCTATTTCGCTCCCCTCCCGGTGTAGTCAGACAAACCTGACGAATTGCAGAAGCAGCAGCAGCTTGGGGAAGGGGTTCTGGGTGCAGGGACACCCCTCCAACACTGCCTAGGCCCTGGGTTTCTCAGATTCTAAGAACCAGGCAGGAGGCCTGTAGCCTGGTGGAGCCTGGGCTCTGGGGAGAGGCCAGGTGCCGCCGAAGGCTAGAAGCCCTGGCCTGGACTCCCCACAAGCTTCCAGGGCCTGCACCCCTTCCCCCCATGCTGGAATCCGGGCTACCCCATTCCTGGATGGCCTGGCAGGCATCAGGCATGCCAGGAATGGACCCAGCTGTCGGCCTGGCCCAGAGCACCACCCCCCCGAAACCCCGGCCACCCCTCCAGCTGCTGCAGGATTCAAGGAAATAAAGATGGCCAGGCAAATGGCCGTGGGGAGGGGCAGCTGTTTCCTCCGCCTACCCCGCTTCTGCTGGGACAAGCTGCCACACCCGAACTGTCACCAAGCTCTAGTCCACCTTGAAGAGGACAGTGGTCCAGGAGCCAACTCGCCCTTCTGCCTTGGTTACTGTCACCCTAACGAGGGGCCGACAGCCCCATCCGGTACTGGAGGAGATGGGTGCACTGCCGTGGGTGCCATCCTGTTCTGGGCACTTTTCCACGTTGCCCTGGGAGGTCTTCACACTTTGCAAAGCCCCCAGGAGTATGGCTGAGGCTCCATCTTCCTTCTGGAGCCCATGTGGCTCACTGGCTGGACACAGGCTTGGGGCCCCCTTCAGCAGGGCGTGGGTCTGCCTTGAATCATCCATGTTACCCCAAACCCTTTGCCACTCTGGGAGCGGGGGTTGGGTCCCAGAGTAAGCCCCGATACTGAAGATACTGTGGTTGGAGGTTGTGGGGTAGGGGACAAATATCAGTTCCGAGAATACACATCCTGAGCCCCCTTGCTGAGATTTTATGGGACGCAGCAGGGGAGCAGCATGCCTCATCCAAGGTAATGGATCTGTGTCTCCAGAACCACCCTCTTCCCCAGCCCCTCCCGGCCCACCTGAAAAAGCCCTGCTGAGCTGGGGCTGGCCTGCCTCGGGGGCTCACGGAGATGGAAAAACTAGCGTCCAGGGGCAGCCATAGGACCCATATGGCTTGACAGAAGAGAAGTCTGAAAACTGAGCTAGGTGGGGGAGGGGTGGGCAGGGTCCTGACAGACATATTTCGGTGGGTCCAGGAGAGGCTCCCCTCACACCAGAGCTAATTTGAGCGCTGAGTGCTGGAACTTGAGCAGCCAGGCCTCCACT